ATGCGGACGCCCGTGCTGTGAAGTCATCATTTTGTTCAGCAGCTTTGAACGATCAAGTCAAGGGTGGGGAGAGTAAGTCTCGATCCACCCCTCCCATCCATGAAGTGTGAGTCCACCCACGACTCATGGGTGCCCATGGTGGTCTATGTCGTTGTTTTTACAGCTTTTAGGACCCTCTCTTTGGTCCTCTTCAAGGACCCTTTAAGGGTCATGCATTGAGTTTTAGACACTAGAACGCTAGTACTATGTTAGGAAAATTATTTTAAGGCTCTTACCTTTTTTTTAAATTTCATTAGGCTACTAGACTACACGTTAGGCTCTAGCTTAGGTCAATAGATTTCCGGGGTGTTACAAATGTGGACTGATAAATGATTAGACAAATAAAATGGAGTATTCAAGTATATTTTGTTTCACTTAAAAAATGAGAAAGCATAAATTCACCTTTGAACTTGTCTCGAAAAGTCAGTTACATGTTTAAACTAATATAGTGACCTAATACGCACCTCTGCTACTAAATAATGAATTTATTATACTCCTTAAGACTCGTAGATCCACCCTCATAATGGGAGGTTGTTATGAATCTTTAGTGAATGATCGATTCACAGGGCGATATATAAATCAGCTCGTTAAATGGAGGCTAAAATCATAGAATTCATTAAAAGTGAGAACTCTGAAGAGGCTAAAACCATAGAATTCATTAAAAGAAAGAACTCTGATCTCTTCAGCCTTTAAAGGAAGAGTGAAACCTTAGAGTTCAATGAAAGAGAGAACTCTAATCTACTGTTTTTTAATGAATTATGACTTACCGAACTATTCATCAAAATCCCCTTCAAATAGGAGTCGTATTACATGATATAGGAAATTTAATTCTTATGAAAGTAGGAAACCAAAATCATATTCTAAATTAATAACTATAACTTAACATAATCCTTATAAAACTATGATATATAAACCTTATTCTAGAATAATAAATAAAGCTATTAAATAAATAATTAAATATTTTAATTAATAAATTCTAACACACACCTAAAATTACCCCCCTCTTACGTTGAAAGTTCCTCAAGCTCAATTATCCAATTTCAGCCCTAGATTGAAGTTGACATTGATAAATTTCACATCTATCAATTTGCAAAAGCTTGACTAATTCGCCCATCAAGTTGCTATTTTCATAAGGTCCAAATCGTTCACAATGATGTGCCAAAATTAATGGGTTGTTGATACCATTAAAGGTAGGAATATTCATCTTTTCATAACTTGGTATTATTGAACTAGAATTACTATAAGTTTGATGATTATGATCAACTGGTTGAATATGTAGTGTATTGTCTCTAGGAGCCGGATTTGTTGATTTACCAATTGTTTGGGCATTACGTGATTATTCCCCATGGACTACTGGTTTTGTAGAGCCAATTTCCATGTTAGAAAATGGTTTTTGAATGACTTGGACAATTCTTTCACAGAGACGTTGTTCCATAGATGTAAGTTTAGAGTCCGTTAGAGTTTATGTAATCACAGGTTCTTCTTGAAACCTGAAATTGATCTCATCATCCATTGTGATAGGATATGATACCAAATTTTTATGAATATTTAGGGAAGGATCGATTCACAGTGCGATATATAAATCATCTTGTTAAAAGGAGGCTGAAACCTTAGAATTCATTACAAGAGAGAACTCCGATCTCTTCATCTCTTCAAAGGGAGACTGAAACCTTAGAGTTCAATGAAAGAGAAAACTCCAGTCTCCTGCTTTTTGCTAAATTTTTACTTACTGATTTATTCATGAAAAGCCCCTTTAAATAGGAGTTTTATTACATCAATAGGAAATTTAGTTCTTATGAAAGTATGAGACATAAATCCTATTCCATACTAGTAACTATAACATAACCTAATACTTATAAAACTATGAAATATAAACCCTATTCTAGAATAATAAATAAAGTTACTAAATAAATAATTAAATTGTTTAATTAATGACTTCCAATGAATCCCTAAGAGAGGTGTATCACACTTGCACCACATCAATGCTATGTCATTGCCACATCAGATGTCTTATCAACTTTGACTAATATTCTCCATATCATTGAATTGTTTCTTATTCATGAACACCACCATTGAATCACTACCATTACCGTGATATTACTATCAATTCTATATATTTCACCATGAAAATTAAAATAATAACCATAAATTTCTCCACCTACAATCAAATCCACCATCAAATCATACTATCACCATTATTCCCACAAAAATTAGAAACTTGCACAACAAGATTTGATACTCATAAACAAACTCATCACCAAAATTACATAATTACCATCAAAAGGTACAAACCCAACATCAAATATCACTATCACTATTATCAATATCGATTTTTTCTTTTCCACCACCTTTAATTTCCAATTCTTTGTCACCCCACACCTGCAAATCCATCGTTATATTTTATTTTAGAACTTAATCATCAATTTTATCGATCACCAACAAAATCAAGAGAAAAAAATTAAATATAATGAAAATTGTGAAATTGAATAAATATTAAAATAGGGTATGATGGGGGAGAGAGGATTTTGGTGGAGGTATAATGGGGTGGATGAAAATTGGGTGTGAAAAAATGATGGAAAAAAATAAAGAAGAAGAAGATGCTGCCTTTAAAGAAGAAGAAGAGGTGGCGTTCGGTGAGGGGTGGAGGGTGGAGGGTGGGGGTAGGTTATAGTAAAAATAAGATTTTGATTTATTTTTTTACTTTATTACTATCAAACACACTTTTCTTTACTTATTTTTTTTATTTTTTTTCACGTTAGTTTTAAGGAGTAAAAAATATAATTTTAAATAGTAAAGGTGTGTAATAGTTCGTCATGATAGTATAAGCATGTAACTAAAATTTCGATAAAAGTTCAAGGGTGAATTTATGACTTTTTCCCTTAGAAAAGTGATATTCTTGAACTTATAGTTCACAAAATATATGTAAATGGGGTACACATGATCATTGTGCGAAAGTATAGCAGTAAGATATAAAGTATTGTTTGTGCCTCAGGACATAAAGGATTTTTACAGAGGTGCTAACATTAATAAATGGAGATATATTCTCAGTGGTGGATGCAATGAAACTTATTTTTTAACAACCAATAAAAAACTTTTGTTGTCACACAACAACATTTATTTTGATCATGACCACAACCTTTATAGAAAAGAATTATTTTTTTCTTTTATCCTCCAATAGTTCATAATAAAACATTCCATAATATTTGTATAGTATTCAAAGTATATGACCAAAATGACCATTTGTGTCAAAATGTATATTTGTTTCAATATTTCAAACCTCACGTAGAGGTGATATGTTATATTTATTCCAATCATGCATGAACATGTCCTTATCCATACTAATACATCACACTCTCTCTAAGAAATGACCATAACAATTCGTACATGCTCCATAAGTTTTTCTTATTAGTCATACTTTGAGATTATCAAATTTATTTGACCCACCTCAACATCACTTTAAAAGTACTAAATGTACTACCATTTTGTATTTCTTTATTTTGATGGAGGATCTACGAAACATTCAAATTAAGTTAATCAAGTACAATGTGACCAATAACTTTTTGTACACTTTGATGGACAAAAATTGCAACCATATTAAGAATTCATAATGTTCTTTCTTTAATTTTCAGAACGATGACCATTAACACTTTACCACACTCATATTCATACATTTAACCACTTGTTATTTTCAAACATATTATGCCTTGCTACCACATTCTCAAAAGAGAATGGAGCAACTCAATTGGACAAATTTCATGACTTTTATCAAATGCATATCAAATTGCTTAGTGATCATTATATCATCATTATTTTACGTTGGGACTTAAACCCAACAGCTTACCCATAAGAAGAAATTTTAGGTCATTATTTGTTGGGACCCAACCCAGCGTTTTATTATCATGATGCATCAGGACTCTCGCCTGAACAGTCGTGATACAATAGGACTTGAAATCTTCATCTTACCCTCAATCAATGACATAATAAGCCAAATATAATAGGGCTCACCATTGAGCCTTAAAAAAATATTGTCATTTCGTGATTAACATGCACAATAAATATAGAACGAATGGCCACTTTGTGATTAACATGCATAATAAAATATAGAACAAAAAATACAAAATAAAAATATTCTTAACAAAATATGTACTAATATCTTAAACTTGTCAAAACAGAGAATTACATGCAACATTATATTATATTATGTTTGGTGAATAATTATTAAGGTTGTGAATTATCGTTATAAATCAAAGAATCAATTGCATACAAAACTGTGAGCATAATTACAAATAATATATGAAATAAGTTTTACATACAAAAGAAAATATATAGTCATATGTAAAAAAATGCACAGTAACAATAATATTAATCATTGACCTTATTCACAAGTAAAATATCAAATTATATTCCACAATAATTTACCTTGTTCCCAAGAGAAAAATGAACACGATTATTTTACCTTCTTTTATGTACTTTGTTTCAATCCCGCAATGGTAGAACATTCATGCTAATAACGCGTTTAAAATTCAACCGGGATAAAACCATGGTAAAGAAAAGAGAACAACACATATTTTGCTCCTCCTAATAAAAACTTTACTTGATATATCGAAAACAATACATTCCGATCTTGTATACAACTTCTTAAAATATTGATGTTGGCAATCCTTAGTGAATAAGTTTACAAGATTATCACTTGAATGGGTCTTTGAACATCTATCTCACCATTTTGTTGAGGACCATGTATGAAAAAGACTTTTGGTGACCACACTTTATTAGTGTTGTCATAGTGTGAAATAAATGCAACAACTATTTACATATATGACCACACTTTTAAAGTGTACTATTTTTATAATTGAAAAAACAACACCTTAAAAGTGTGGCCTAAAACATTTCACTAAAATATCATATTCCCTCCAACATTTTCAACTCCCCCCCCCCCCCATTTTATTAGTCAAAAAAATAATTAATAAAATATAAATAAAACAAATTTTTCTCTTTCTCTCTCATCTTTCCTCTCTCCTATCTCCAGCTCCAGAACACTAGCTCCAAAACGCTAGCTCTTATTTATCGCTCTTCTTTCCTCAGCATAACTCCATAGCTCTTCATAAATCGAATAACTGAAGACCTGAAGAACTGAGCTCCACAACTCAAATTTTATAAAGTCGAATTTCTCAAAGAGATGAAGAGCTGAAGATACAGAGGTGGGGATGGAAGAAATCAAGAGCGGAAGCTGAAGAAATCAAGTGTTGAGATTCCTTTCAATTCTAGTCATCTGTACAACCGATTTGTGAAGGTAAGAACTGATTCTCTAGTAATCTGTAGATCTGCAAATAGTAAATTGGTTTAATGTTCATTTTGTGTTTAGAAGAAATTGATTACTTTTGGGGTTCTTACAGCTGAAATTTCAAAGTAGGGAAAGAAAGTGTCAAAAATCTGTAGTCAAGCGCAGTTAGTAGGTTTCTTGCCTAACTTTGTGTATGGAAGGAGGAAATGTATGTGGGAAATCACAAAGTATCTTTCAGTTGCCAGGAAAGTGAATAATATGAGTGCATTAGTGCAAAAAATGTAAAGGGTGTATCAGTGTAGATCCATAGGTAAATGTTTGAAATGTTGTTTTGTTGGAGAAAGAAGGAAAAAGAGGAACAGAGATCGAAACAAGTAGTAGTATTAGAGAGAGAGAGAAACTAAAAGAGGTATATGTGGTTGCCAATGAGTTGATAGTGAGGGAGGAGTTGGCAAGAAATATTAAAGTACTATAATCAAGATTGATACTAATAGCATAGTTAATATACTAATTTTAGCCTTTATTATATTAGTATATGCATATTTTGTATAGGCATCTACTTTGAACATCAAAAGACAAGTAGGCATCTACTTTGAACATCAAAAGTTGTATTCTAATTTTCTGTAACTGCTGGACTTCTTGCCTTTCTATATTGTTGCAATCTGAACTTCTTAGCTCTTCTATATAACTGTCAATATCTTATTTGTGTAGGGAAATGGGAGTGATCAAATTTGAAGTGGATGATGACGAGTTTCCGAACTATTGTAAAAGTTTGAATACATTATATTTGATTTTGTGAAATATATTCATTGCTAGAATATATTGAACTATTGTAGTACTTTTTGAACTATTGTGTACACATTTAGAATATTGATGTATAAGTATAGGTATGTACACAACACAAACTATATATTTTGAAGTTTATGGGAAATCTATAAAATTGAATTACTTATTAGCGCTAGAGATTATTTATTGTAATATAATATTGGATATTTTAATTAGAAATTGTGGCATAGGACTGTAAATTGTGGAAAGGACAAAACTACAAAGCGTCGTCATACATTAGATAGAAAAGTCAAAACTTGATAAATGTGGGAAATATGGTAGCAAAGGCCACGCTTAAAAGTGTAGCTGATAAGGCAACACTTTTAAACGTAGTCGTAAAAGTGTTGCCTTATTTCCTTTTAGGCTACGCTTGAAAGTGTAGCTGATAAGGCAACACTTTTAAGCATAGTTGCAAAGCGTGGCCTTTTTGAATTTGAGGCTACGCTTGAAAGTGTAGCTCATAAGGCAACACTGTTAAGCATAGGTACAAAGTGTGGCTTAAAGTAAAAAATAGTGGCCTTTGATAAAACGCCACACGTTTTCATAGTTTAAGCCACACTTCTCTAGGGTGGTTGGAGACATAAAATGTTGTAGTGTGTCAGATCTCCCTTCGATTGAGTTATATATTATTTTCACACACACACCCACACACTTTTTCTAATCTTCTTCTTAAAATAATATTAAGTAAATCGATTCTCTTCTTCTCTCTGCCCTTTTTTCAAAAAAAAAATTCTCCCACTTCACTATTTTTTCCCTTTTTACCTCATTTTATTTTTTTGAAAAAATTATTTGTTTTTCTTTAGTTCTATCCCTTCAATTTTTTTTCTTTAAATCCTTTTTTACAACAACGTAGTTAGAACATATTACAAAAAAAAAATTGTCATCAATGTATGAATTTATTTATTTTAATTTATGGTATAATTCATTCATTATAGTAAAATTCAATTAGATTAATTTTTACTTGAGACCAAAGTTAAATTATATTGTACACCATGTAAAATAATTTAATGATACTAAAAAAATTGGTATATAGTTTATTAGACTATGGTGTTACGTATTATAGGGTTGTAACAAAACTGGAATCAACTTTACCATCAATTATAAATCAATATCCTTTATAGTTATAAACCAATATATCACAAAAAATTTAGTCATACGATACATAAAAAGTATATATATATATAGTAATATTATATTGCAACTATAAATCAACAAATCACCATTATTCTTTAATCAACAAATAATCATTATTCTTTAAACAACAAATCCACCAATTATTTTTAGTTGTAATAATTGTTAAAATTTGAATTTGACACAAAGGTTACACTACATTATACACAATGTAAATTAATTTGATGATTCTAAAAATCTGGTATATACTAGATAAGATTATGGTATTATGCATTGTAGGGTTGGAACATATCAACCTTACCATCAATTATGAATCAATTTCTTTTATTGTTGTAGACCAATATATAGCCCAAAAAAATTAGTCACACCATCCATCATATTGAAATCAACAAATTACCATTATTTTAACTAAAAAATTCATGAAAATACATACACTAAAATATATTATGGTTAGTAACCAACAAATCACCAATTATTGTACCGGATCGGCTACCAAAGTATATTCCTTAATACATATCACCTATTTAAGATAACATATCATCAATAATTGTACCAAATCGATCACCAAAGTGTAAAAAAACGTGTTTAAAAAATTTTCTGATAATTTATGGACCACACGATACTAATCATATTCACTATAATGCGGATCTTCTTCAAATTAACAGTTGTAATTTTTGGTTTTGAACAAACAATTGGCCCTTGACATCGATATATATAAGCCTTTATTAAATGAGGATTCTTTTCGAGAGTACTATGAAAAGCAACTTTCTTACTCATAATCGATTTTTTCAACAAGTAAAAAAAAGGAAACTTGTATAAAATAGTTAACTATTAATTCAAATTAAATGCTATAATCACAGTTTTATTTAATTGTAAACCATAGAAAATTGTTGTCATTCGCCTCTCCCTGAAATTCTCACTCACCACTCTCGTTTTCTCGCTGGCAATCTCTCTCTCGCCTCTCTCACTTTTATACAAACACAAATGTATAAAATGTGTTTGTGTTTGTATAAAATGAGAAAAAATTGTTTGTCTATACATATCTCTTTTTGTTCGCTTCTCTAAACCTCACTCGCCACTCTCTCACATCTCGCTCACCACTCTTTGTCGCCTCACTCACTTTATACAAACACAAATGTATCATATTCGTTTATGTTTGTATAAAGCAAGAGAAAATTGTGTATACAAATACAAATACATATATTTTCGTCCTATACACTTATAATTATACAAATACAAATTTTTATCTGCCCATTTTTTTTGTCTTTCTCGCTCTATACAAACACAAATTATATAATTGATTCTTTTGTATATGTATACCGAAACATATTATACAATTGATTCTTTTGTATATGCATACAGATATATGGATATTGATAGTCATAGCAAATATAAAATTTATTATGGGCACAATTAAACAAACTACGGTATAGCATATAAATATGATTTTTATGTTTATCAAACCTAAAATTTACTCTAAAAATTGTTGTAAGAGATGATTTTGAAAGAAACAAAATGAAATATTTTCAAGAAGGAGATACAAAACGTTTTCTTGAAAAAAAAAATGACATTGAAAAAGATGTATAAAAAAGGTGTGCAACAATGTGTTTACCAAGGAAAAAAAGAGTGTCAATAATATTTCTTCCTTGTAAGGTTAACTGAAAAGAGAGAGTAAGATACTCCCACAGTCCTTATTTACTTTTCGACTTTTTCATTTATAGTTGTCCCTATTTGTCCTTAATTACTTGTCTATTTTGACAAATTTATAAGCGAGAACAAAATTCATATTATACCTTCAATTATTTACTTTTTGAAATGTAGATCTTTTTGATAATATGTAACTTTTAATTCATCCACTTCATTATGTCATAATTATTTTCTACATAGTTGTGTCAATTCAAAAGTAGACAAGTAATTAGGGATAAAAAACGTATCCAAATATAATTGTGATTAAGATTCTAATAATTAATTAAAATAAAGCATAGAATACGAGTCCCAAAAATTTAATCCACTAATCAATAAAATAGGAAATAAAATTGTATAGATTTTAAATTTATAATAAAAAATATCATATTTGTAATTAAAATGTTAGTGTTATAAATAAAAAAAACTAAAATATTATTATGTAAATTAAGCTCTAAATAGTATATTCTCTTGTAATTTTTCCTTTTGGGATAGCACCACAAGCTATATGTATACCTTTAGCATAAATGACAAATCCGGACTTGTACCAGACTTTTAATTTGGATACGATTGAACAATGAATAACTATGAATCAGAAAATTTAACCTCTGAGGAACAAATACAACTCATTTTCAAATGAATGAATATCAATCAAGTTACAAATAGAAATTTTGGGCTGTCTACGCAGCATCCATTTCAAGTATTCATATACCCAAGATTATTTTCACATCAAATAAAAAAATGTGCACAGTACAAACAAATATATTGTATTGGAATCTCGCGGTCATCAGAAACACTATACGAAACCTTTCGCCATGTACATACGCAGCTACAAAGACATTATCTTTCACTTGGGACTCGTTCGAAGCGACAGCAACTTAGAAGCAATATCATCATAATCAGGCAGCTTTGGATGTACATGACTAGCTTTCTTCATGCTATCCGCACTGGAAAATTTGTCCCCACTGGAAGCTGGTGCCTTTGGAACATCATTGTTGCCTGATGCTGCTGCCATTTGGGAAGAGCTAGATGGTTTTTCCACCCTTCCCATCTTCTGTCTCCTTTCATGTGATGTTATCCTGGTCTGTATAACAGGCATTGGAACTGTAGGTCCAGCGCTGGGCTGCTCTAAACTTATCCTTTTATCTGTTGGGGATTCATGTGATTCACTACTGTAAAAGTTCTTGGTCAGTCTCTGAGTTTTTTGTGTATCAGCAGCATAAGAATTTCTGACGGGTTTCAGAGGTTCTTGAGTTTTAATTCCGAAAGAGCAGTTGATGGGTTTGCCATCTACACCAGAGTCAGAATTAACAGCTGTTTCGGAGCTGATTTTAGACTTTGATGAAATGTTTGTATCGAAGCTGGAGGAAGAAGCTTTAGTTCTACGAGAAATTCCACTATTCAATTGACTTCTACCAGCAAAAGAATGTTTCTTAGGACCAGCCTCGGAATCACTGCTATCAGAATCAAAATATGTGGATGAACCTCGTAAGCCTGCATATTTTGTATTAACCTCGCTGCCTCTTTTTTGTGAATAAGTTCTTTGACTGTAACTCGAAGCCTCTTGTGAAAATTCTGCATCAGAACTGTCGGTATCTGAAGCATGATGAGTGTCATCCAATCTTGAGCTTGACTTATCGTCTATTTTCATCCTCATTCCTAAACCAACAGAACTCTTAGGGGGTGCAACATCTTGTGACGTCACCGCAGGACTTCCCTTAGCATTCTCGACTGAAGATGGAACACTGTTTAACTGGCTTCTTAAGTAAGGTGGAGGGATATGGCCTTTATGCTTAAGGCCACCAGTTAACTTCCCAAATGTGAATGCCTTTTCGGAGTCAGAAACAGAAGAAGCCAAAGTATCATGATCTGTCTGTGTCCTGGGCAAAGCTGGTAACCATTTGTTCCCATCAGTTCCTGAAACATTTTCCATATAGGAGGATCTTGGTGAATCATGATATACATGTTAATAGAAACATTCTGCAATGTCATTTCCATTAAACAATTAGAACATATAAATATAAATAGATTAAATTTTGACTTACCTATCGGGTGTTGGACTATCTCACTGTCACTTTCGGAATTCATACCATCAGAATCGTCAAAGGATGGCACAACATTTTCTTGTCGTGAATTGTCACCAGCGGCAGCCAAGCTTTTGTATAATTGAGGCGATTGCTTTTCCACAAAGATTTCTGATGTCATCGAGGACTCCTCCTGTGATTTGTTCGAGTCAAAGCTCCACGATTCTTTAATTGCAGAGTTGTAAGTAGGTGATTTCCTTTCTGGTGATGGAAAATAAAGTTTGGCTTGCTG